GAAAATATGCTTAACTATACAGTAAAAGATAATTATATAGTACTAAGAGAAATTCAGATTAAAACTAATCTTAGATATTACTTTTCACCCATCAAATTGGCAAATATCAAAAAGTTTGATTCCACCTATATTGTCAAAGTAATAGGCTAGGAGTGTTCTGGCCCTTCTAAGGTCAGTCTGTCGGTATTAATCAGAATTGCAAATGCACATAGGATCCAGAAATTTCACTTCTAGGAATTTATTATTTTATTATTATTATTACTATTTTATTATTATTATTATTATTATTTTGAGACAGAGTCTCACACTGTCGCCCGGGCTGGAGTGCAATGGTACGATCTTGGCTCACTGCACCCTCCACCTCCCGGGTTCAAGTGAGTCTCCCGCCTCAGCCTCCTGAGTAGCTGGGATTATAGGTACCCACCACCATGCCCGGCTAATTTTTTGTATTTTTAGTAGAGATGGGGTTTCACTATGTTGGCCGGGCTTGTCTCGAACTCCTGACTTCGTGATCCTCCCGCCTTTGCCTCCTGAAGTGCTGGGATTACAGGCATGAGCCACCGGGCCCAGCCAGGAATTTATTTTACATACAATTGTATATGTGTGAAATAATGTATATACAAATTTCATCACTCAGACATTCTTTGTAACAAGAAAAGATTGGAAATACCTTAAATATGTATCAATAAGGAACTAGTTAGTTTATATATGGCTGTTACAAAGAATGAGGTACCTATTTATTAAGAATCGCCTCCGAGATATATTCAGAGAAAAACAGCAGATCTGAATGGTGTGTTTATGGTGCTATCACTCGTGTGTTTGGAGCAGGGGGTTTGGGTGTGGAGGAAATATTTACTTGTATATGCACAAACTATCTCTGGAAAGAGATATGTAAGCCTGATAGCATTAGCTGCCTCTGGGGAGCAAAACTGGGTGACTGGTAGAAGGGAGATTTTTTACTATAAATTATTTTATAACATTTGACTTTCAGATTATATGATCAATCAAGATAATTCAGGTGCTGGTTCTTTCACGTGAAGTCACATCAGCTGCCAGTTGTCAGGATGGGATGGTGGAAGCCACACCTATATGGTTATCAGAAAAATGTGATAAAATTACACTTGTACCCCCATAAATCTATGCAAATAAGTTTTTTAAATTTAATTTTTTTAAAAAAATGAAAAAGTAAAAGAAAAGCTAGGTTCTAATTCTTGCTTTTTCACTAACTTGCTGGCCAACCTTAAGCAAGCAACCTCCGCACTCAGAGCAGGTCTGAGAAAGGTCAGAGAAACTGGTTTCCAAGGCCCTCCCTAGCTCTGACATCGAGAGAAACAAACTGTAGCTTTTCCTTCCACATTTCTTAAATCATCTTTCTACCTCCTCCTTTCCTGTGCAGCTCATCAAAAGCTCAGAGGAAAAGACAGACAATTGAAGAAAATAAAATTGTGAAGATGACTTTTATAGGGCTCCTGTTGAATCATTGTGTATTCCACCTCCAAAGCTGAAAATGATGAGTTTAATATCACATAGTGCAGTGCATCTTGTATCTCCCAAAAGACAGCTTATGCTACCCAGAGAACTGGGAGCTTGGCAAGACATAATTTTTCACTTCAACTCTGAGGCAAATGAAATGACAGTCATTGAGCCCACATTCTAGAAGCAACATAGTTTTCATTTGGTTTTAACTTCATTTGAAAGCATCCCAAGGAGGGAGAATCCTTCTAAATGTGCACTTTTCTTCTTTCCCAGGACTATGTACTAGAAAGGGGATGGAGAGGTGGCCAGGTTTTGCCTTGACTATTTCTAGCGTTGGCCATTGATGACAATAAGTTAATTGTGTGAGGGGGCAGGAGGCCTGAATGTCAGCCCGGTTATTCTATGAGCTTGGGCAAGTCCCCTCCCCATGCAGGTCTTCCGTTATTCTCAGAAAGGGTTAATGGATATAAGTTGGGCTGATATATAAGAAGTGAAGGTTGGATTTGAGGACCATTGGAGATCTAATGGCCTAAAAATTACCCCATCCCCCACACCCCCTCTTTCAGCCAGTCCATTACAGTATGTGGAACAATCTCTCTGGGACTGTTTGTTCAATCATTCGGCATGTAGTTACTGAGCATCCTTTACTTACATGCACTGAGCTCTTTATAGACAATCCTCCTAACTTCAGGAAAGGTTAACAAATAATACCATATCAACCAAGAAAGTGCCTTAAATATGTGTAAGTAAAGAGCAGAGGAGGACTAGTCAATGCCGTCTTTACAGACTACAAAGGCATTTTCCTTCATGCTTTATTTATATGCTATTGGGGAGTAGACGTGGCATCATCACACAAGGTTAACTAAAAGAGTTAAGTAAGACTTCATATGTAAAGTTCCAAGAATGGTGTCTGGCATGTATTACATATACAGTGAAAGACAGTAATTATTGTTTTTTATTTATATCACAAGATATCAGCGAGCAATATAGTAATTATTATTGCTGTGTTTGATTCCCACTATAATGCTCTGAGGTTTGAATTAAAATACCCATTTTTCAGATAAGGAAGCTGAGGCTCAAAGTGG